ACATGTTCTGCGTATGCCGGAGAACAGGTGGCCAAAAAGAGTTTTTCAATGGGCTCCCCAGGGCAGAAGAAAGAGAGGTAGACCTAGAAAATCCTGGAACGGAACGGTTACGGAAGCAATGAAAGCTCGTAACCTAGAAGCTGATGACGCTCTAAATCGAGATGTGTGGCGTAGGGAAGGCAGCAATACTCTGTAGTTGGAAATGAGTATTAAATACTTAAACCAAATCCCGTTTATATGTATAATTAAAATAATTTATTGAGCGGTAGGCAGAACTTGGATAATTAGAACACCGACTTTTCAGAGCGTAAATATAGTTTATCTTTTACATATAAAAACAAAATATAACCAGCTAAAAATCGAAATTAAGGCATCGCACTTTTATGGCAAGGGCTCTTTCTAAATTCAGTTACTATAAACTCTATTGCCACTTACCTTATTACGTCAACATCCATCAGCAATACATCAACAACAAGAACCTGTCGAAGATTTCATTGATCCCCTTGTAGATCTACCTCTTCGGTCTTGGACTCATACTTTGGATTGAACCACTCGACCGGTTATCACAGTGTTCTTTTAAATAACTTAATATTTTAGGGATTAGGTGAAATAAAGAAATAAAATGCCGATTTTTCACAACACCTAACTATATTTAATATAAAGAAATAAATAAATAAAAAATAAAGAAAAGATTTAACAACAAAACATTTATAATTAATGAAAAAGAAAGAAATTGAATCAAAAATAATTATTGACAATTAGAGAATTGAAATTAAAACTCAGAGATAATAAAGTTAAAAAAAAAATACAAAATATTCTTCTTATTAGTCCAATTTAAATTATCTACAATTAGCATACACTTTCAAACCTCTCTTAGAATTATCGTTGGCAGAAAATGAATATATTAAAAAAATATTCACTGAACAATTAAATTTAAATTAGAATTTAATAAAAAGAACAATTGCAAAATAATCACTTATGCAATGACATATAAAATTTACTAAAGCCTTTAGAACAAATAGAAAGTCTTAAATCATTAATAAAGAAAAATATTAGAGAAAATCCAAAAACAACAATTAAAATACTGTAAGCATGAATAGTTTAGAATTTCCTAACTTGAGAATTTATTTGAGAAAATCTTTAAATAGAGAACTTACTAAAAACAATTAAAAAAGACCACTGGATAATATAAGATCTACACGGAGTAAATTCGACCGTCTAATTTAAAAGTCAGTACCGAACTAATTTTAAAGATGAAAATACTGATGCTGGTACTATCTCGGACAGGCGTTACTACATCTTCGGCACGCCCCTGTTTGAGGAACCTTCGAATACCCATCCAAATGCATATTTCGCACCTTTTTAATTGGCCGAAGGGCTCCTTCCCCGAAAGATCCCTAGACTTCTTTCACCCTTGTTTCTGGTTCTTGTCCCGAGAGGGCATCAGCATGTCCTATTTATTAATTAAATGTAATTTTTAAACCCTTCCGTGTAAATCTTACTCTTTTACCAATTTGCTGAAAAACATTCATAATCTACCTTAACTAATACAAATGATATCGTGACATAGGATTGATTACCTTAAAAAAACCGCCTAGAAATGAAATCTTTATTTCTTCATTCATTTGTCTATTTCTATTCAACTCTAGGAATGGAAAAAAGATAATCCTATTTCTATCATTTTCAGACATTCATCTCGTGAACATTTAGATTCTGATTTTAAAACATATATTTAAGACTTTTAATTTTCAATTTAAAACCTCTAGCGAGGGGATGATTTAATTTTACTTATTTCGTTAAGCATGCCTACGTGCTTTTTCTGCGTTGTTTATTTTGAGATATCCCTAGGGTACACACAACTGGTACCACTCTGTCAAATAAAGTTTTGATAATAAGGGATGACTGTTTGTTCTACTTTACCCTCGTTTATGTGACTTTAAATTATTTAGAAGATTGTATTATTTGCTTAGTTAGTTTCTCAGGATATATGCGTACTTTTAGAGTAACATTAGAGTTTTCATTAGATTATTTGCTTAGGCCTTTTAAAATTCGTTTGCCTATGTCAACTGATAACTTCGTAAACTGAAATGGTCCCATCTTAGAATAACAAACCAAAAGATAAAATTTTACCAAGCTTGATATTATTCTATTACAAATTGAACGATTTGAAGGATGTACAGGGTGTTTCAAAACACATATGCCATCTAACGTGGGGAGATTCCTCACGTAAAAATAAGATTTATTTTTCATATCGACATAGGTCCGATTCTGCTTTGTTCTGTAGCTACAGGGTGTTAAAGTCTTAATAATTTTTCGTTTTATTATAATTTTCTTCCAAGTACTTTTAGTGATTCGAATGAAATTTTGAGGGTAAAAGTTACTGTAAGTACTACATATTTTAATGCTAAAAAAGTGTCGATAAATTCATCAGGAACATGCATATGGGTTATAACTGGAATAATTTTCAAAAAAAACATGTGCGCCACTGACTTTTCTTCTTTTGATATCCAAATTGTGTAGGCCGTTTAATGCAAATTAAAAGTTATCTCTTGATATTTTGTCGAATCCGGCCTCCTTGATGAGCTAAACGTAATTTTATTAACCACAATAATTAATAAAATAATTTTATTATTCTCACCACGATCTTTTTTGAAACACACTGTATATTTTTTTATAAATGCTTTTTATAAACTTCAAAAAAATTAGATTTAATATAAAACCGTAGGTAAAGGTGTGGATCCGGTGGCTGACCTTGAAGCCCATATTTGCTGCATTTGATCATCGATACTACGCAAGCGCACATCGTCGATGTTGCCAAATTACAGTTTATTTTCGAATTATTTGCAGTTGAAACAAATTTTTTTGAGTGTTAATCAATAATAATACAAATTCTATAATTAATTTTATAATTTCAGATTTATCTTGATATCCAAAATTAAGGTAAGAAAAATAATGAAGATTGTGAAATGAAAGTATTATGAATATATAAAATTGTAATAATGATAACATTTATTATATATATTTATATTAGAATTAAAAATTATCATTAACGGATTTTTTCTTAATGTTTTTAAACTAATTAGAATTATTTTATTTCTTTCAAGTTATTTAATTTCTAGTTATTTACAGGCAACTATAGTTTTTTATATATATGTATTGATGTATTGAAGTACTACCATGACGAGTCTTATAGAACAATATACACATCAATGAGATAGAGGTAACATCTTACAATATAATGTTACTAATATAATATACTTTGATTATAATATTTCTATCATAATTTCTTAAAAATATCAAGTTAGTGGATTAATAGCAATTTTAGACATATATTTTATCGAAGAGTGTGTTGATAAGACTAAAATAAGCTAAATAAGCTTTATGTTTTATCTTTTTCTCTTTAGAAGGGAGATGGTTTGTGTCGTAGAATACATTACAGTATTTAATAACGTGTACTTTGATATTCTTTTCTTAATTTACTCTAATTTCTTGTTTCCTATAATGCCAAATCTTGACAATATGGTGAAGGATGAGTTTTGATCTTATTAGTTTTATACCTATGTTCATACAAGACCAAATTAAGACTTAGTTAGTTTGTGATTTATATTAAGATCTTTCTTAATATAAATATAATATTTGTTATGTCTTAATCTTAATACTATATTATGCTTTTTTCTGAAAAATAAATGTTAAAATATCTTAATTTTGCATATTCTATTTCATATCCTTCCATTAGGAAAAATATAGTTTATAAATCATACATGCTAAGAAAATCACATAAATTAGGTGTAAGGTAAGAATAGAGAAATCCTAAGGTAGCAGAAAAATTAATACAATATATGTATAAGCAGAATTAAACAAGGTAAATGTTAATGTTGCTGAAGCTGATTTTACAATTTTAATTACGGAGGCTAAAAGGCCTTTTAAGGCATCCGTAGTTTTGATGGAATGTTAAAAAAAACTATTATGAACATGACATGGAGCTACAGCATATAAAAATTTAAGAAAAAACTTGGACACGTCCCTCGAAATTTCCCCCCGAATTCTTAATAAAACACTTTTTAAACGTAGCATAATAATCTAAAGCAATTAGATTAATTATGGGAATCTAGAGTTTTATTTCTATTTAATTTTATTGACTATCAAAATACATAATAAGCGTTCACGTATTCTGCGAAATATTAAAATAATAATATAAATAATATACCGCGTACTATGATTGAAAAAAAATAGCGTCAGCGATGACTATGAAATGAATATCGCTGTCATTTTATTATGGGAAATGTCCTCAATCGTCATTTCCCAGCCAACTGGACGCCGTTTTTTCGATCATACGGTATATGTTGACAAAAAAACACTGAAAAGCACATATTTGTTTTCTACTGATAATAATTCCAAAATAACTTGCAATCTGGCAACATTCAAGGTCAGCCACCGGATCCACAACAATCACCAAACTGTATACTATTCTAGCTTCATAATATTATAATGTTTTTTCAATTTTTGTTAAAAACGATAATTCTCTACATTTATATCTCTGACTACTACTACGAACTGCTACTAACCAACAATTTGTTTTGTGTGGTCTGTGGAATGTTTTGGTTTAAATTTTAATTTATTTTCAAATTAATGTTATTCGTTAGGCCACCAGTAAACACATAGAATATGTATTTCTTTTGCATAATCAAAATTGTCACTCTATTTTACATAACCAAATTGTCACTCATTGTCACATAAATCGATATTGTAGCCAAATTCTAATTCTGAGCTGGCAAATACGCTAGTAGTGGAATGCCTTTATGGGATACAAACCTCGGAATTCATTTACTGTGAATGAATTTTTATAAAACTTTTTTGCATTGTTTAATAAGGTTTATTTCAAAGTTTACCCATTTAAATTCGTTGCTTTCACTTTAGTAGTTAAATAAACACACACATGTTCCTATACGTAAAATAAATCAATAAGTACAAATTTAACTTTACGTATTTCCTTATTTCAGGTGTATTATTTCATCGTGCCATCCTCATGTCCGGTTCAGCACTCAGTCCGTGGGCGCTGGTTCACGAACCCTCACGGTACGCAGCTCTGGTGGCCATTCACGCCAACTGCTCCCCGGAATTGCCTCACTCTCACCTCCTCAAATGCCTCAGGGAGAAACCTTTGGACACTCTGCTGTCCACTCCGGTCGTGGCACCTGAATTTTCCTTCGCCTTTGGCCCGAGTGTGGATGGTGTTGTTATTGATACTGGAGAACCACCAGGTAGGTGATATTTAGCCACAAGCTACCATACGATAAGAAAAAACGGCGTCAAAGACGGCTTGGGAATGACAATCCAATCAAAAAAAAAATGGTGAATAGTGTAATTAGTGGTTTCAATTACACTTTATACTTTTTAGTTTACGATCATTCACAATGTTTATGTTATTTTAATATAAAGCACAATTAAAATTAATAGAATATCGTAGCCACAGCTTGCGTTAGGCTAAGAACATACTGGAGCGACTAGGATAGCGGCGAGCCAGCAGCGCGACATCGCGTACAAATCATAGACTTAAAATAAAATATAGACTACACTATTTACATCTCAACGCGGTCAAACAATCTTTTTTGTATACATGTTTACTTCTGGGTACAGTTGACCGAGCCTTCCTCATCCAGCCTATGTTGTCACGTCTTTAATATTATCAATATTTTTTTCTTGTTACACACATATATTGAGATATTAATACTACAGTTTAATAAAGTAGGTTTTAATATTCCATAGATGTATTAAATAGTCCTTATACTACTAAATTATAAGTCGGATACTGTTTAAAAGGAAAGTTCTTTACAATATGACAACACCGATTAGTGGCGAGGGAGCCTATTCATTCATTTATTACCTTGTAGTACGCGTCGCACGTGTGCGGTAAAGCTTTGTTGCCACTATGTCCCCGGCTGTATTAACGCATTTTCTTAGCTTGTAGTCCTTAAGTGTTTATTTTATTGACTTTTTCTGTTCAAGAACTATAAAATATGGTTCGTCAGTGCCAAATTTGCAAGAAATTTGACTTAAATAATCCATTTAAGTCTTGAAACGACTTTCGACCGGTAGGCAACTCTGAATTTACCCATTAGGAGTCAGTGGCGTTGTTGTAGAAAGGCGCTTATTTAGATAATATTTTAGTAAAATGTAAAATCTGAATTTTTTCTCTTACATTACATTATTTACTTACTTACATTGTAACAAAATCATAATTATAACCCTGTTAATACTTAATAATGTTTTTATTAAAAATATATTCCGGTTTATTCTAAAATTATCTTGAGAATCTAAAATAACATACAAGAATTTTAAAATGATATTACATTATGAAACAATATTTTTTAATATACCGGGTCGTCTCAAAAGTGGCTCACCCCTATAACTTTTTTATTTTTTCAGATAAAAAAAAACAGATTTGTATGTTAGTAGGTATATGACATAAATTAGGATTTATTGACGTATTCAATTGTTTTTGGTCTCTTCCTTTTTCACCGAAATGATTACATCTTTTGATTCTTAAAGGCACCCTCGGTATATTGCTACTTTATTCGATAAAATATGACACTCTGAATAGAATGACATATCATATGCCAACTTTTGACATTGTCACAAAACAAATCGTATTTTAAATTTCAATCCAGGGTGCCATGGTGTTGTTAAAAACAGTTTTAATCAAGGAGCCTTGGAAAAATAGTTTTGATCGTCTAATAGGTTTCGTGTCTTGTATAGGCCGGTTAAAAGATGTACAAATCGTATTTTTAATCATACATATGCCAATTTTTTTTCAAATGGAACAAGGGTGACTCATTAGCATATTTGGAAAAAGCATTTTTTTTTTAATATATTGGAATACCACACACTTGGTATTTCGAGTCAAATTGTCGTTATGAACCGCGTGTTACAATTACAATTAAATCATATGCGAAAATGTCAAAAGTTAACATATGATATGTCATTCTATTCAGAGTGTCATTTTCTATCGAATAAAGTAGAAATATACCGAGGGTACCGTTTAAAAATTAAAAGTTATAGTCATTTCCGGTGAAACAGGAAGTGACCATAAACAATTGAATGCGTCAATCAATCCTAATTTATTTCATATACTAACATACTAAATCTTGTTTTCTTATTTGAAAATATAAAAAAATTATGGGTTGTGTTGGCTCATCACTTTTGGGACGCACCCGGTATAATAAAGTCAGTACCGAGTTAAATAAATGTAGTTTTTATTTTATCCACTTCCTATCACCTTCCTTGCTTTAATGGAACAGATTTATGTTTTCTCTAATTTACATAATAAGACATCACTTAACCAGAAAAAAAATTACAACAATCATATTTTGTTTTCTCTCCCTGTCGCCGATTCTATTATATCTGTGGAATAGATCCTGTTTTGATTAATATTAGGGGTTGTAAATGTTTGACTAAAATTAATAATTTATTATTAATTTCAAAAATTACGTAATTTCGATTATAAAATTTCTTCTATAACGTGTATTTTATTATTTTTATCCTTTTTGGACTCTAAATTGTTTTTTCTAAACTTTTATTTAAAAAACCTGTCCTAAATATAAAATATAAAAAGTTTAAATACGATATATTTTTAATTTAATTATAGCTTCATTAAAATAAAAACATTACCCGGCTATGATACGGAGAGTTCAGGTGTACTTGAGAAACGAAAGAGAGTGTTGTGTTTCTCGGCAGAGTCGTCAGGGAATGACCGTTACGACAGAGACAACCTATCTATCGCTCGTGTCGCACTCGTTATAACCTAAAACAATAACAAGACAGTGTCTGACCGCATGTTCCAGCTATTTATGAATGAGATGCTCAGTCTATATTTTATTTTAAGTCTATGGTACAAATACAATGAACATAGTAACGCGATCTGCTCGAGCGATTATATCGAGCGGCGAGATCGATTCAAATAATTTTGTTTTCGTTGCACTGTCACGCTGTAGAAAACGATGGATTCCTAAATATTAAATAGGTAGATTTAATGTTTGTAGGAGAGATTTTATGGGGCCCAAAAAATAGTAATCACCATAACTGGTACATTTTAGATAAGTTATGAGATGAAGTGACAACAAATGTTCTTAAAGGTTATGAAACTTGCCACAATCTCCCCGGTTTTTAAAAATTTTAAGAACACTACACCTTCTGGTTTGTTAGTGTCGAATAAACCAAATGTTTGCGACACTACTGTCCAGAATATTAGGCACTGGTAACATTTTAAATTATCAATTAGCAAATGAAAATAATAAAGTTGCACACATACCTCGCTATTCCTCGCCGCTCTACTATGTTTTAGCACCTCGAGGTTTGCTCGACTCGGTATTAGGCTAGCCTTAGGTTAAGAACATAGTGAAGCGACGAGGCTAGCGGCGAGCAAACGCGCGACATCGCGTCCAAAACAAACCTGTGAAGGCAAGTACGTGCGAACATAGTAAAGCGATCTGCTCGAGCGGTTATATCGAGGGGCGAGATCGATTCAAATAATTTTATTTTCGTCGCTCTGTCGCGCTGTAGAAAATGATAGATTCCCAAAAATTAATAGATTTAGTATGTGTAAGAGAGATTTTATGGGATCAGGAAGATAGATCTCCATAACTGGTACATTTTAGATAAGTAATGAGATGAAATGGCAACAAATTTTCATAAAGGTTATAATACTTGCCACACTTTCTCCGGTTTTTGAAAATTTCATGTAACCAAATGTTTGCGACACTACTGCCCATAATTTTAGCCACTGTTAACATTTTAAATTATCAATAAGCAAATAAAAATAATAAATTGGTACAAGTGACTCGCTATTCCTGGCCGCTCTACCATGTTTTAGCACCTCAAGGCTTGCTCGACGCGGTATCGCGCTGCTTGCTCGCCGCTATCCTCGTCGCTCCACTATGTTCTTGCCTTAGTCAGTTGTATCCATAGAGAAAGCCTAATATTTAGCTTATAAAAGAATCAACTTTTGATTTCTAACCACTATTTTCTCTTGACGGAAGATAATCAAAGGCTAAAATGAAATTTCTCGCAAATTTTAAAGTTTAATTAGTGGAAATGTAAAAGTTTGATGACTTTTTCTACTAATTGAAAGTGTCTACCACTAATGTTGACGTTCTGAATGCTTACATTGAAATTAAAGGAACAAACTTCTACGCTAATTGAAACCACTAATTTCTTCCACAAATTGAAAGGTTCTGAATGAAATGGTTCTGAAAAATTAAACCCAGATTTTTTTCAAAACCTGGTTTAACCGATAATATCTAGCTTAAGTTCCGCCACTGTACGCTAGCAATTCGTTGAATAGATTTCAATTTCGCTGAAACTACTGCTGGAAACGAAATCAACTCGACATGCACCCTAATAAGTTCTTCATGACAAGAAGGAAAAAAGAATGGAAGAAATATTCCTTAGGATATTTCAGCATGTCTCATAGCCTCGAGTCGAGTAATTCGCCGCCCAGCTTATGTAAACTTGAAAAGTGGAAACTTTTGATCCACCATTTCCTCGAGGAAATTTGTCTCGTGACATAAGTGGGCATCGGAAAAGTTGCGACGACATTTTGTGTGCATCGCGAAGGATATAAATCATTTGTACTCGTCAGCCGGGAAAATATATTTGAAGTTAATGCAAAATAATGCCGTTCGCTTCAAGGAATTCCGGGAATACGTTTATTTTGTTCCGATGTTCGGTTTTAATGGATCGCAAAATGAGATTTTTCTTTTAGCGACTCAGTATGAGTGAAATATGTTGGCTATTCCTATTTTAGTTGGCAATAAATATAGGAAATTCCAGTATTTATCGACTGTTATCACTAGCGTCAGAAAAAAAGAAAATAAATAATATCATTATTTTTTTAACTCCGACATTATTAGCGCGACAATTCAATGTCAAAACAATTATTGTCAAACAAAAATTCAGTGTCAATCAATCAAAATAAAACCACAAACCTTTAGTATTTACGACAGTAGCCTAGAAAAACCACAAACCTTACTTAGACGACAGTACCCAAATAGCATTTTTGGACACATTTTATATAATGTTTCTAATAATTGTGTCTGTTTCTTGACACAAAATGGAAACGGTATGCCACAAATAGGAAACATTTTCGAAATGGCTTTATTACATGTGTTTCCAATGTGATGGCACTAGCCGTTTCCTGAAATATTTCATTACGGAAAAAAAAACTTTTAAAGGAAATGTTTCGAAACATTTTCTTCAGCTTGTG